CCACTTCACTCTCATCAATCTCACTGTGTACACATACAGGTAAGTCCCACTGCACTGCAGGCTTATCGATCTCAGAGTGCAATTATCAGTTTCACTTCACAATCATCAGTTGCACTCTGCATCAGTTATCTTTTCCACTGCACACTTATCAGGTTCACTGCATCAGTCTAACTGTGCACACATCAGCTTTACTACTCCTCTAACACATCATTTAGTGTGGTTTGAAATGAACTCAACTTTATGCCGATACGCAACATCACCAATCTGCATGATCTTTAACCTTGTTGTGCTACAATTCATGATGAAATCATCATGCCTAATCCTAACTGTTTAACGGATCTATTTAGGTTACTGTTGGTTAATTGATTGCACAGCTTTGTACTGAAGTCAGACTTTTTAAAATTATTAAAATCTTGCTGTGCTGAACTTGCTTTGTAGAATATCCCTGGCTGTCATTTTGCCTGAGCTGGTGTGAAGGTGTTTCTAACAAAGGACTTAGTTTATTTTTATTTGTGGTTCCTTGGTGCAAAGCATTAAAGCGCTTAGAACTGAGCTCAAAAAGTGGAAAGTTTGAAAAAGTCCCAACAATGCTTTGTTCCAGTATGAAGCCCCTGAGAATTTAATGCTCAAAGACAGAAAGGAAGAAGGTGTGAATGTCAAATAAGTGACTGGACGAGCATCCGACAGCTGAGGAATGTGTAAAGCATACAAATATTCCCATAAAAGTCAAAACTGAGAAAAAAGTTAAAGGCACATTTTCTGTCAAACCACTCCAGCTAGATGTTTCAGTATTCATCATGACCAGATGATCACCGCTGTATATGTGAAGCTGAAATGTGTTTAATTACAGGTAAATCTTTACCATAATGAATATTTACCAAACAAGAAAGAGACAAAATGTGTTTTTAAAACCATCTAACACAAATTATTTGAATCAAAAACAGCATCAAGAACAACAGAAACCACATTACACAAATAACTAACTAAAGATTAAAAGGATTACCATATGTAAGGATTCCTGTTTTGGCTGTATCTCCTAACCACATTGTGCAGGTCCTGTGAGTGGGTGGTGCTGGCTTCCTCTCAACTGTTCCACAAGACAGATGATTATCATTTTTAAGGCTGAGTCGGACCAGAAGTCCTAGTTGGGTCGTTGATTCCCACGCAGTGACGATCAACTGACAATCTGAGCTTTTTCCACAAGTTTCACCTCTCTAGCATTTATAGTAATTGTTGGACTTACCCATGTCCTCGCAGAAGCCTCATGAGTATTGAACCAGACCGGTACCCTGTCTTCACCTGAGTTGTTCTCCTGGGAGTTGTTCTCCAAGCGCTGTAAGTATCAAACAAAGATTGTGTTCATTAAAGCCGTCAACCTTCCCATCTGTTCTGCAACTGTGTCCTGCGAATGAGCCGCTTACCTGAGATTCACTTCTCAAGACTTGGACCTGGAATCCTGACCTTGAAAGAACACAACAGTACCGACTGTTAAATAAACACTTAAAATGGATAGCTTTAACATTATGAAACCGATATTTTTGAATTGTCTAAGAAAAAGTGATTCTAGTTTATTTAAAACCAACAGAATATCATTGGACAGCAGATTTATTTAGGTTTAATTTGTGCAGTAATTTAGATACATTTATCTCTTCTGAATAGTTTATTTTGTAATTTGGATCAGGAATAATTAGTGATTCTGACAGATTGCCAGATTATTTTAATAACACTGCAGGTGACAAAAAAGACACTTATCCACTGAGCATTAGATGAAATATTAGAAACAGACCAAATTGCTTCTTCTGTCTCATCAGATACCAGCTCCTACCATGCTGAATCTGAAGCACTATCTGCTTTTTCTGCTGGCTGATCACAGGAGGAGGCAGGTTTGGCTGAGGAACTGGAAGTGGGGTAATTTGCAGATGTGCATGTGTAGCTGGGAGAAGAGACGGCTTCTTCAGTCGGATCGGTTACAGAGCAGATGAGAACGGCCATCGGTGCCAGTGACAGGCAACACCTCTGTCGGCTTGTCTCTTAAATCAGTGAAAATAAGTATTGTAGTGGAAAAGGTTTTATTTTCTGTTTTTAACTGTTTTCTTCTATCCATCCATTATCTTTGACCTGCTTCTTCCTTTCTGGGTCACGAAGGTCACTGGTACCCATATTCAGCAGTCTGGACAGGTCTCCAGTCTATCACAGGGCCACATAGACACAAACGAGCCAAACAACCATTCACTCTCTCACTCACACCTAAGGACAATGTAGAGTTACCAATCAACCTAACATGCATGTTTTTGGTCTGTGTGAGGAAACCAGAGTACCAGGAGAAAACCCATGCATGAACGAGGGAGAGAACATGCAAACTCCACTCAGAAAGGCCCCGGACCGGGATTTGATCCAGCGACCTTCTTGCTGAGAGGCAGCAGATCTACCAGCTGTTCCACCATGCCCTATTTTTTTTCTACTTGGTTAAAAAAAAAATTAATGCAAAGCAAGCTTGTTTTATTTTTTTTTATAATACAATGTTACTTCTGAAAAGCAAAGCACAGAAATATGTTAGACCAGTTCAACAATTTGATTAAAATATTTGAAAACAATATATCACCATTAGTCATGTTAAAAAAACACTTCCTAATGAAATAAACATATTTCATTTCATGAAGAAATAGTGTCCCTCCCAAAATAAAATAAAATAAAATAAAACCTTTACAGAATGTGAAAGCACATTTACCTGAGCTGATTAGTTGTTCCTGCGTGGTACAAATGCAAAAAAACCATCAGACATTATTCAGTTGAAATGAACATAGAGATCAATCTTTGGCAGTTTTGAATGGAGCTTAGCTTCATCGTGGAAAAGAGGGTGGAATACAGAACAACAGACATTACATATCTTTGTTCCTTAATCATAGGTTTGTCCATGGAAAAGTTGTTAAGGTTTTCCAGCTTTTGTAATCTGCTTTTGACATCATCCTGTCAGATTTGTTCCGTCTCAAACTTGTCCTAAAAATGCTAACAAAACCAAAGGATGTTATTTTCAAACAGGAAGTCGGTCCCAGCAGTTCTTCCTCTGATTTTATCCACAAATGGTGTCCCTATTGAGTTTGTTGATTCCTACAAATATTTAGGTATCTTGGTCAATTCACATCTCTTTTTTAAGCTCCATGTGGAAAACCTAGTAAAGAAACTGAAAGTTAAACTGGGTTTCTTCTTCAGAAATAGATGCCTGTCTAACTCTGAATGCAGGAAACACCTTGTAACTGCGACTTTCCTTCCCTCCATTGACTAGTGACATTATTTACATGAACACTCCTACAAGCACTCTGCAGATGTTAGACGCTGTCTATCACTGTGCGCTAAGATTCATAACTGTCTGTAACTACTGTACCCACCACTGCACCCTGTATTCACTGGTTAACTGGACATCATTAACTTCACGTAGACTCTCTCACTGGTACATTTTCATCTTTAAATCACTTCTTGGTCTGCTGCCTTCATACATCTCCTCCTACATGTCTCTGCTACAGCGTGCGCTCTCAGGACATTATTACATGCAGTGTTCCCTCAGTGTGGACTGAACTAGGCAAAAGGGCCTTCTCTTACTACATTCCTGCATCCTGGAATATCTTGCAAAAAGATCTGAAGTTCCGACCTTGACCTAAGTGGCTTCAAACATCTGTTAAGTTCCTGGCAAAAACCAATGCAGACATGTTCCTGTTTTTAGTTTTCTACACCGCTTTACAACCTGTTTTTGTTTAGTTTTTTTTTTTCAATACCGTTTTCTGGTATTTGTTCTTCTCATTGTGCATGCTTTTTATGATTGTCTACTGTTGTCTTTGTTGTTTACTGCTGTCATCGCTCTTTTTTAAAAATCAGATCTAAATGAGTCCCCAAGGCTCAGGATTAACCTGTATAAATAAAGGTTGAATGAAAATTAACTATTTCAAATGGGTAAAGCTCATATTCACAAATACATATTATCCATTTCCAAACCATCTTTCCAATGTTTTATTAATGAAAACAGTATTTTAAAAACATCAAATATGACCAAAATTTTCTCCTTTTTAAAAACTATTATATTTTTCAATCTCTATATGATTTATGTTGCAACACCCCTGGCATTTGACATTTTCGTTATTATTGGCCATTATTTTATTTGTAAAATTTTGATTCTATAAATAAAGTTGAAAAAAAAAGGTTTTCCCCATAATGCCTTGCAAATGAAGCTGTGGTGCACAGCACACGGGCACATACAATATCTATGGTGGTGCATGTCGTTGGACATGTGGTGCACTCTCTGATGTATCAAATAACAAGCTGAAGAGATGATACTAAGAGCTGAATCGTGAAAAAAGTAAGTATTAAATGTGTTTGAACTTGACCGTACCAGTGTGTAAACATTACGAGAAAAAAAAAACTCAATTTTTAAAAAAAAATGTTTGTTTTATACAGCAAGAAACGAAACAAAAACGTTTTTATGAATAAGTATGTAATTTATAACGTTTAATTTTGCAAAACAACATGGGGTCTTCTGTTAAGTGGGTGTATAATTTTGATATTTTTAAGTATTTTTAATAGAAGGCTTTATTTTCGAAATAGTGTCCAAGCTGTGTAAAAAAACTAAAATTGTACAAATTTTCCAACTGTACCTGAATGTAACAAATTGGTGCCCTGCGCATCGTGATTTGAATGAACGGACCAATCAGCGGCCTCGGAAGGTGGACGCGACTGGCATTCCGTCACTCTTAGCCAATCAGCGCGCAGTTTCGTTGTTTGCCTTGCTTTTTGAATTGAGCTCCCAACACCAACAGCAGACTGACAAGTACTCCGCATCGTACAGCTCTGAGGTTGGCGTTTGTCAACAATCAGAGGGGTTCTGGTTCTGTTATTACACAGAAACAGCACCATGCGCTGATGTGATATTTCATTTTTGTCGGACGGGTTGAGGTAGACTTTTTAAGGAGTGAAGACGAATTATCAGGAATTTCTGCTAGCTAGCTAAGCTAGCTGGTGCACTCGAAGTTAACTGGTTGAGCTGCCAGTTAATCACCGCTAGGTTTCTTTTTTATTACTTCGCTTAAGATATCTGGGTAAGTTTAATGCGTTGTTTGGACCACAGTAAGCTGTGTATAAATAACGTTCAGCTAACGATGTGACACATTTGACATGATTTATCTTGTTATTCTCAGTTTTCTTGCACTTCCTGTGCCCGCTGCCAAGGCGGTGATGGTGTTTTTGCTCGCTTCTGTGTGCGTCTTTTTTTTTAGCATAATGTCATAAACATCTGCAGCTGACTGACTTTTAGTCAGCCCGATTCAAAATGGCAGCCACAGCCAGATAACTATATCAAATACAAAAAAAGAAGAATTCAGCTAATTTTTACAGACTATAAACTATAAAACTTGTTGTGGTAGTAGCTGAGACTAGTTCCTAACGCATACCCAGAGGGCTGCACATTGTGGAAGCTGATGATAAAAACAGTCTTTTGACAAAATATCTCATGAACCACTGGGTGGATTTTTGTAAAACGAGAAGTATTCAATGAACTCAAGTCAAGATGGCTGCCACAGTCAGCTGGTTTCACAGAGGTGTGGTAGTAGCTGGTAGTCATCCTTAACATGCACTCATCCAGGTTTTGTTAAGAGCCTGGATAAGATCAATCATAATGTTTTGATTAGAACAGATATGCTTTGTCTCTTCTCAAGTGATTTTAGTTTAAATCTGTGACTTTAACGACCGATGCGCAGCTGATGGAAATAAATTGATTTATAATTTAGTCTCAGAAATATTGTTGTTTTCATGTTGTTGTCCTTTTCTCTCCTTCCTTGCCTGACTATCTTTTGTCCAACTGAATCTTCAGAGAGAGTTTGGAGCACCCTGGCCCCTCACAATGATGGCTGACAGCAGCATGGTGACTTTAGGGACGGCTCGGAGTCTGCTCGTGGATTCTTCTGTCTATGACTCCAAGATTATTGAAACCACGAGGGACCACACTTTCCTGGGCATGACCTTTGAAGATGGGGAAGGTGAGTCTGCGTGCATTTTATTGTCCTTCTCTGCTTCCATTTCTGTTTTCCTTTTATAGTTGATTAACTCTGTTTCAGGTCTTGGGGGGGGGGGGTAAACTACAAAGTGACGTTTCCTTCTTCACCAGCTATGTTGAGCTGAAAGTGTGTTTTCAGTATTGTGAGGAAGGGTCTGTTTGAGCATGATGGTTTAGCACAGGACTTTAAGGACAAATGCCATCCACCCCACTCGGTTCAAGTGGAGAGACTCGGGCTATAACCTGAGACACAACAGGCCAGGTGGCGTCTGACTTGTGTCCCAGGAGGTTAAAGAGAGAAGACACACCACACAAATCGTCATTACCATGAAGTAAAACAGTGACTTAATTTTTTATACGTTGCTGTTACAATGACTCAGAGTGCTATGCACAACAATCACAATACATTTGTATAGTCCTGTGCTGTGAAAAGGGCAAAACTCTTCTTAACTCATGAGCAGGTTAAATGCATAATTTCCTGTTTTTAAAAGACATTCCGCACAAAATAAATCAGACTGAAACGTTTGTCTTTGTAGGTGTTAAAGGTTTAAAATGGAATTTCTAATCCGCCTTCACCCACTCATTGCCCTGCATTTACGTGCTGAGTAAACTAATAACTGTTGGCATTTTAATTGTCCAGTTAATCACAAACCACTCAGATATATTTACATTTAGACCTCGTTTACACATGAACGATCTCCTGGAAACGTTTTGCATCATATAAAGGGTAACACTGTGATACCCCCTCGTTCTTTAGACAAGATGGAAAGAAGCTGATGACCCCACTGTGCTGTGGTGCTGTGATTTTTGTATGTGAGTAACACAAGCATGAGAACAGTTCCATTATCAATAGTGAGAAGAACACAGATATTTGTTTGGACAGACGATGAGGGTGGGTTGGTGCTTTACGTTACTTTAAAAGGTAAACCTAAAAAGCTTCCACCTTTGCTACGGTTGTTGCTCTGCTCGTTCCGTGTTGTGCATGTGTGAACACTTCGATCTTCAGGAACACTGTTTTCCATTTAAACAACCAAAAAACTTCCACTCTAACAGCTGGAATTAAAACGTTTCTGTGTCAGAGAATCTGATTGCCGTTGTCGTGTGAACAAACAGCTGAAACGCATCAGAACTGTTCTGGTTTCATTTAAGAGCAGGGTCATGTGAACTGGGCCTTAGTCCTTAGATCTAATATATAGGTCCCACCTTGCTAACTTAAAGTACAAATCTTCCCATATGAATGGATTTTTAAATAATTAGCTTACATGTTTTTCAGCATAAAACAGCTTAAAGATACGTTTGGAAACTTTGACATTCTTCAGCCATTTTCCCTGCTGTGCAACATTAAGAAGCTGCTTTGATCTAACTAAAACAAAAGCAACGTCAAATATTCTGAACTTTATCAAGTCGACCATGTCCAAAATGCTGCATATATTTTGCTAGGCTTTGCTGAATCGTCCATTAAACAGTTAATATTGGATTTATTTTGTTTGCACATTAGAGATTATTTATTAATCCAGTGAAGTGATCAGAACATTAGTGCAGTGTCAGAAGATTCTTTAGCTCTGGGTCGGTGTCCTATAAAGAAACTTGATTGTGGATCTTTTTGTTCTGCCCTTAACAGCAGCAGGTTTATTCTGATTCATAACTAAAGTTTTCTGCATCAAATAACAAAATATTCCTTGCCTGTCCTAAATATGGTAAATGGACTGTATTTATATAGCACATTTCTATCTTATCAAGATACTCAAAGCTCTTTACACTACAATCTGAGTCCTCATTTACCCATTCATACAGCACTCTACTAGATCTTTACCAAGATTACCGGTAATCAGAGCTTTATCACATTCATACACTGATGGGACAGGGACACACATCAGAGGCAATGAAGGGTTCAGTGTCTTGCCCAGGAACACTTCAGCATGTGACTGCTGGTGGAATTGAACCCCCAACTCTCACATTGGCGGACGACTGCTTTAACCACTCATCCACAGCCGCCCAAGATGGCAGCACTGTTCGTCTCTTTCCATTATTAGGCGGCAGTCTGCTGTCCTCATGACGAAGTCTTGGAGCAAGCGGAGTTTTTTGTTTTTCTCCTGTAACATTGTTTGTTAGCATGGTGTATTCTGAGAGCAGAAAAGGCACCAAATGACTTGTAGAATGCTCCTTTTCATGTAAAGACACACACAGACCAAAGTAGATCAGAACCACTGTCGTACATTTTAGTTTCGTGGTGGGGCAGAAGTGATTTCCTCACTCTGTACCTGACCATTAAGAACAGAATATGTGAACAAGTTCAGACTCTTGCTGACGTTTAACTAAAACATTTAGCTCATAGCAGGTTAAGGTAAGCCTCTTTTACCTTTGTGATCCAGACACTAAAAGAGCTCGTTTGTGATACAGAAACTTTGAATTTCCGCTCAACTTGGTGAAGTCCCCACAGACCCTAAGGTTCTCGGTCACTGGACTACTAACAGTTCCAATAGTCAGAACTCACTATGGTGAGGCTTCTTTCCAGTACTATGGCCCCCGTCTGTGGAATAGTCTGCTGGAGAACCTGAGGGCCGCAGAGAATGTTGTTTTTAAGAGCAGGCTCAAGACCCGTCTTTTAACTCTTTTTCCTGAACTGGATCATCTCTGCTCCGTCTGTACATTTCCCGTACAATTTTATTTTTTTTGTGTGTGTGTGTATTGTTTGCTTTTATCTTGTGGGTTAATGTTTATAATTCTGTACAGCACTTTCAGCTGCTTTGAGTATGAAGGGTACCTTATATAAACAAAATTGATTGATTGAACTGAGAAGGAAATCTTGCTCAGATGTTTCTATCTTGGCTTGCTAACAGGCAACGGTCTCTTTCGTTGACACTGCAGGTCTTGCTACTCAGTCCCTTTTTTTTCTTCTCCTCAAATCCAATTTTTTGCACGATTGTTCACATTATAACTGACCTTTTTACAGTTACTAATTGTGCACGTGTAAAATCAGGCACCACAAGCTCAAATAGGTTCATAGCGATTTCAGGTATTAAAGTTCAATGTTCAACTTTAGTCTTTAGGTCCTTTACACCTGCTTTTTATTGACTTTTATATACAAGTAACAATGGTAACCTATATGCACTAACGACGTATAACATTTCATTAAATGTTAAAGAAATGGATGTAGGCATGAATCTTTCCAAGCCATAACACATCACAAATTCTGACTTTGTGCATTAAAAAGGTCAATTTAAATGTGACCGCCATCAGACTCCAGGGTGACCAGTCCACGGTTCTGAGGCAACTTGCAGAAGAATATTTGTCACGTGGTGCCACACATGGGCCTGTCACAATAACACATTTTGCTGGACGATTAACTGTCTCAGAAATTATTACGATAATATTGTTTGAAATTTGACAATAATTAGTAATTATTGTCAAATTTAAGAAGAAATGTTTAATTTGTTTGGCATATAGTACTTTTTTCGACCACTGGATGGCAGTAAAAACTGTTTGAACCAAAGGATGGATATTAAGGGAGCGAGCAGCGTGTCTCTAAGAAAAATGGGAGGGAGGCTCCTTGACATGACTTGGGCTGTATCTTTTCAGTTCTCAAAATGGCGGATGCTCTGTGTGGTTTGAGCTATTTAGCATAGCATTTTTCACACAAAACTTTTAATAAAATATCAATAAACAAGTTCACAGCTTCTTTTTGCAGAGGAAAACAACTTTTTAGACAAAGGCACGGGTTTCAACTGTGAATTTTGGAGCTTCGACAAGACGGAGGTTTTTTCTTTAGGTCGGCCTGTTGGCTTAACTCGTAGCTTAGCTTCTCAGCTTAGCTGCTTTTAACGATCCAAAAATGCGATTTTGGATGGTTAAAATGGATTTAAAAGAGAAAGGGAGGGGTCAGTGAAGAGCACCGGAGTTGAGCGTTTTGTCATCCAGTGTCTTCCGTAGAAAGAGAGACACGAAGAAACGATAAAGCCGATAAATGAAAATGAGGTTGATAATTTTCATTTATCATTCGATTAATCGATTTATTGTTTATTGCGACAGGCCTAGCCACACATCGATTTTGAAGTTGTTGTGTGATCAAAACCAATGAAATTATTATCTGACAGGATTTTTTACATTTGATCTTTTTGCTTACTGCTGCTTGCCTTGGCACAGAAGTGCACTTCTGGAACCGGAGCAACGTGCAGAAAGCAAAATAAACTTTGAGTGTTGATCCCATCCCATTAGCATTGATCCGGTCCAACACCAGCGGCGTTTTCAAATGTTGCTGTAGATTCTCAGTCATCCAGGGCATGATGAATTAAATCAACTGGACTTCTGTTCTGTAGCTGAAGATGAGTGAAGTTGAGATTTAACCAGCATGACACACTAACAACATTTAGATCGATCAACATCCTCCTACCTCACTGAGATAAAGTCAAATGAGACATGAGTGTTCAGACGGAGGTCACTTTGAAACCCATCCGATTAGGATCTGATTCAGTACCACAGATGAAGAAGACCTAGGTTGGACTGGGAGAAAATCAGATTGGATCACTTTTTGCCTGCAGTGTGAACGTAGCCTCAAGCCCCCAGTATACTCCCGCGTACGTCCATACACGGAGGTACGAGCGTACATGTCCGTACATAGCTCAAATTTTTACGACCGCATACGTGTACACGATGTCGCACAATAAACTGCCCGGCGACGGACTGTTTTGAATGCGACACCAATGTATTAAATTCCCCTTCTTCATCTCTGATTTGGCCTTTTCTTTTGTTTTTTTTTCCCAAGAGGCAGTGATCTCTGCCTCCTCCGTTGATGCCATGACTGAAATGGTGAGAAATTAAGGAATTTGTCACAAGCGAATTAAACTCAGGTCTAGCATGGCTGCGTTAGTGTCTAGAGATTTCCTGGTGGGCTGGTCTGATGTGTGGGCTGTAGAGCCAGCGCTCCCTGTTTTTTAAAATTTTTTAGATCTTTTTATTAACAACATATAAAGACAAAACACCGCTGTGGCTGCCAGCGCTCGCTTTTTTTTTTCTTTTTTCCGATCTGTCAATCAATCCAGTAGGCGTGTCAGCAAATGACCAATCGGCGACCTCAGTTTGTCCCGAAGGTAAACGCCCCTTGTCTGTTAAGCTGCTCTGGTGTACGCTGGAGTACGAAGTCTGAACCCTCTGCGTACAGTACACGCGTACGTACGCATGAACGGACGTACGCGGGAGTATACTGGGGGCTTTAGATCTATGTTGTCTGTCAGTGTTAAAGGAAATGTCACCACGATGAATGTTAAAATGTTTGAATCATTTAATACCACTAATTAATGGAAATTAGTCATATTACTTAATTTTTTCCCCTCAGACACATTTGTATAGTCTGTGGATTTGTCAGTATTGTAAATATTAACAGTATTAACTGACAATTCTGATATGTTGTTGCTTTTCCACTCAGTTTTCTCAACCAAATGTCTGTGTGATGCCATTACCTTTTAGTCCTTATGTAAACTCTGTTACTGTCTGTTTACTTTTTTTAAATCCATTTTGACTCCGCTGCTGTTCATCTTTCAGACCGATTACCCAAAGTGGAGACCCGCGTTGTTCTGGTGGGAGAAGCAGGCAGAAATAGAGCACTGGTCAAAGCACTGCAGGTAATTCCTTTTACTCTTAACCTTCTGATCAGCAGGCCTCTGCTCTCCAAAGAACCAGACTTTCTAGTAATTTTCTAAAAAGTTCTTGAGCTTTAATGCTCCAGATCTTTCAAAAAAAAAAAAAAAAAACTTGAGGAAATTATCAATTAAATCCACATTAAAAGGTTACAAGAAAGTCTGGCTGTTTGTAAGGTTACTGTCAAGAAATAAAGGCTCTTTTTCACATCGCTTTATGCTCATTAAAGTATCCTTATTTTCTTAGTTGCATAAAGCCCCATTGGTATGACATTAATAAACTAAATGACTAAATCGTTTTGATTGTTGGTCGTTCCAGAGATGGTTCAGTGTTTTCTCTGCTAAAAGAAACGTTTAATAAATTAACTGGGCTCTTATCTTGGCAGCCTTTTTAAGCTCAGGGCAGGTGGTATTTCACTAATCTGTGACTGTTGAAGACTAGTTGACGACTCAGAACTGTGTGAGTTTTCTTCATGATCTCACTGAACTTTGAGAGTTTACAACCAACTGACCATCGAGGTGTGCAGTTGGGTTTTATGTAGAGCTCAACCGATATATTGGTAGGGCCGATATTTTAGGCTGATGTAGTTGTTTGGGGACATATTGGTATCAGTAATAATTGTCTCATTATACGCCAATATAAACACTTCTAATTTCCAACCCTAACATACTGGGAACGAGCCGTGTCCTTGTTTGCAAAAGATGTAAATGTACAATGTATCCAGCAGAGGGCGCATGTGGACTACTTTCAAGTTGTGACCGCTTTAGCTTTCACTTTTAATACAGCCAAAGCAGGGAGCAATACTGTGTAGAATATTTTGGTGAACAGAACATGGTAAGTTTATTGTAACTGTGATCTGTAAAATAAAAAATAAATCAACAATAATAAATTCTCTTTATTCTTCCAACCCACGGTGCCCTCAGCTTCCTGTTGTCCACACCTATATATCAAACAGCCCTGTGACTACCTGTCACCTCTTAAACAGACTGTCTGAATAAAAGATACATGACACCTTTGGTGCTGAATACAGGACACACCTTAGTTTAACGTGTTCCTATGGCTAAATTATTTTAAATCTTTTTCTGGTGTTCCATTCTTTTGACCAAAACCATTTTCTTTAATTTATTATTTTTAAGTACTTTAGTTGAACCAGGATTCTCAAGCAAAGAATGATTTTAATTTAATACAAGATGGAACTTTATTGGAACTTTATTTTACTGCAGGAAATTGAGTTTTAGTACAAAGGAACATACACAAGGAATCACACAAGATGTATATATTTAAAAATACCAGTTCTAAAACAGGTCAGGTGCAGACAGAAACATTAAAGTGTTTATTGTGGTGCAGGATTAATTTTATTGTCTTATGTGTAGAAAGGGGGAGGAGTTGAAAATTTTGATGGCCACAGGGAGGAAGGACTTCCTGTGGCGTTCTGTGGAGCACCTCGGTGGTCTCAGTCTATGAATTTTATGTCTTTCATTGAACTTTGTGGGCTTTTCTTTCTTTAATTACATAAAGTCTGTGTCTGTAAAATCACTCCAAAGAGTTCTGGCTCTGCCTGTAAAACCTTTTATAGGGAGGCTCCCTGGAGGAGGCATCCTGAATCGATCAAATGTTGGAACAACCTCAACAGACTCTCTTCAGTGCAGATGAGCAGTGGCTCTTCCAGAGGGATGGAGCTCCTCACCTTCTCTTAAGGCTGAGCCTGGCCTCAAGTGGAGGCCAGGCTCATGACAAGTGAGGGTTGGAACATACAGTAGATGAATCTATTGAGTGTTTTACATTTTTGGCTCCACTCCTTCTTCACTGTTAATACCTGGAACGATCCCCTCATTACTGTGGACGTGGCCCTGAGCTGTCCTTGCATTATTCGTGGATTCTCATACTTGAGGCAGAGACTCATCCCTGTCCTGGAGCTGATGTCTCTGTGTGTGCAGTTTTTGAAGTTCACAGCTTATTTACACGGTTTGCGCCTGTGATTTTTATCTACAGGAGTAAACTTTAGTAATGACGATTTGGACAAGTTTCTCATTATTATTATTAATCATTGGTGTGGTTTATAGACCTGGACATGTTCTTTGGAGATCTTCCATACAAATGTCAAAATACAGCTCTAACATTCTTGAGACGATTTCAAGGCACCGTCTACGATTTTGGAATGAGCAGAAATTGCAGACACATTTTTTTACAAGTGTTCAAATGTCATACAAGACTCAGCCTTGGCTAAGTAGTAAGTACTGTAGTTGCCAACAGTCACAGCCCAGTGAGATACTGGCTTAATTGACGTAAAACTTTATTTAACCAGACTCCTGTTTTTAAGGATGGCTCATCACCAACAAAATGGCTGCTTAGGGTGGAGAAGTTTGGTCCCTGCCCTAAAAATAAACCCACCAGGTCATTACGATGTGATAAAAGACCTCCTTATTTTTTTACGATTTAAAGTTAAACATAGGAATATTCTCATTTCTTTGTGTTTCATTGTAGACGTAGAGATAAATAAGAAACAATGTGCATCCAGGAAAAATGGGACATGTCTTTTTAAAAAAAAATGCAATTTTCTCTTGAATGAATTCTCTTCTGTCCTTTTTCTCCTCCTTCCTCCTGAGGGCTTTGAACCTCATATTAATTTTTAACAGGAAGTTCTGCTCCCCCCTCAGGAGTGTGATATTTGTTTGAAGCTACTGTCTTTAACTGTTGCAAGGACACACAACCTGCCCATCTTTGCTGCTGCAGTAAATCCAGACCCTGAAGTCTTGTCCTCGTGATAGTAACTGTACACACTTGTCCCCGGCTCTCCTTGATATTTTTTTTCCTCGACTTTCCTATCTTTTCATCTTCTCTTCTGTTCTTGCCCTTTTCAAGTAGCAATTTTTGATGTCCCTTTCCTGCTGGTTGGTTTTTACAGGCCATCAGAATAATGGAGGTACCCGTGGTAAAGATAAGAGAAGGCGAGGCGGGTGCTGAGGAGAAAATGATGATAAAATCTATAGTCAATATGGTACAGTACTGTGTCGTCTTTTCTGTGTGACTCTGGTGTTTGGTGGGAACTTAGAAGTCCTGCATGAACCTTAATTCACTCTGGGTCCTTTTTAATCACTCTGCATGTTAACTTTCTGATGATGAACACTTTGGTGGGTGGGTGAATGTTGTAAAAGATTTCATGTAATCACTGAACCTGTGGACTCTAAAGACAGCCGTTCGCTCCAACGTCAAAGTAAGTTTCCAGGAAAATAAAGGAATCCTGACTTTTATGACTTTCTCACATGATTAAAGTTCCAACACAAGACCAGCTAGGTGACAAATGAGCATATTGCACTTCAACAGTCCCATTAGTCTTTGCACATACCAACATCTTACGATCCTTCAGTCAAATGATGAGTCAGCATTCACACAGTACCTAATCAGATTTTTGCTATTGCTCTGAGACTTGTGGCTGTTAGTAAACACTTTTACTACTTTTAGCTATTCTGCTTCTTTTATCTTTTACTCAGTTTGCAAATTTTAGTATTAGCATCTGCATCTGTTTTGATTCTTTTAGCTACAGTTTTGCTACTCAGTTGTTTTATCATAGCATCATTGTAAATTCAAGCAACTATTTGCCTATTTTAGCTTTAGTTTAGGTGCTTTTAGCTACTACTTTGCTTTTTTTAGCTTGTAAATAATTAGTATTCTGCCACATTTACCTTCTAGCTACCGTTTTACTTTAAATGTTTAGCTAGCATTCTGCTTTATTTAGCATTTAGTCAAACTTTTACGGAATTTAGCTTTAGCACCTGTTTAGATGCTTTAAGCTAGTTTCTCTACTTGTAGCATCTGTGCTACCGTTCTGACAATTTAGCTTGTAGCTAGAAGTGAATTTTGAGTGGAAGGATGTAGACATCTACAAACATCACATCTGCAGATAACTGGAAATGCCACTTTGAATCTAAAGTCCTAAAAGTCATTTGTGTCAGGATTCCACTGAAATATATTTTAAATCTTTGTAAGTTCAACATTTGGCATTTAGCAGACACATTTTCACCCTTTTTAACGTAGAAACTGGAGTATGGGGGCGGGGGATTAAATAGATTTATTTGTACTTTAATCTGGGGACCCCCCCCCCCCCCCATAAAGGCTTTTAGTGTCATCCAAAGTTACTTAGATTTTTCTTCAGTCGTGGTTGAATGTTTTGACAGTGAAACAAATGTGTTTTGTGGCATCAGAACTTTTGTTTTTAAATGTTTTTATGGTTTATTAAAGACTTTAATTAGAAAATATGTTAAAGGATTAGTCCAAAAAGTAGATTAGGTAAAAGCTGTTAGTTCACCTTGACTTTAGAGAAACTCTGGTTTTTATTTTAAATTATTTTATTTTTTTTACTTATTAAAAATCTCCACAGTAATGGTCACTCCTGGACACATGGTCACACTGGGGCAGTTGACGTGTACCAAACAATCCAAGTATTACTTGATCTTCTGATATTTGTACTTGAAAGCTCATTAGATGGGAAGCAAAACATAGCTTGCTCTTTCTGCAGAATGAACTTTAAGACCATTTAGACTTATTTAAAGTGATGATGCCTCTTTTTCTCCAAGAATAACCATTACTACCAAAACCAATATTAGGTCCAATAATAAGTTCATCTGGACTTTTTGTACTCATGAAATACTGTACTAAGATTGGCTGATATTTCTGTCGGCGTACAATGAAAATAGTAAAAAAAAAAAAAAAGTAAAGTAAACATTTTAAGTTAATAAAACTATGTAGCATTACTCATCTAATCACTTTGCACAACATTCTAAAAGTAAGGTGAACATTTTACAACACGTTTGTGTCACTGCCAAAACTATTGCCATGACTTGCTATTTTTGGCCATGACAACATTGAAAGCAGAGGAAGGGTCTGTCTTTGCCATTATCACGCTTAAAAACAAAAATAAAATGACTTTTTGTATGTTCTGCGTCAGACTGAGCTTTTTGAGAACTCTGAGCTGCGGCCTGTTTCAGACTTTTTCCCATGCCTCAAACTGATATGAAATCATATGTTAATAAAGTCTTATTTTTTCAGCCTACTGTGCGGGGAATAAAAACAGCAGTGGGGGCTTTTTTTAACCCTCAGAAGGTCTTATGGGAAAAATTCAGCCACACATTTAAATTTGTCCGTTTCTTCCTCCCCCCCAATTTATTTATTTTGGTGCCATCTATAAACTCTGACAAAACCTAAAAAGCTTTCCAAATTTTTGTCAGAATATTTAAATGCTCCTGTAACCTCACACTAACATTACTGCTCTCCTCAAGGGAAACGTCGGCCATAGGGAGATCCCATTATAAGTATGTTTTCTGATACTTTTGATTTTTATATTGGCTCTTTCAGCGATGCTTTTGCTTTTTACATTTGAGAGCTTCTGTAAAAATTACTGAGACCAAATTGGCTTCAGAAGATGTGCATCCCTCCTCGTCTGGAAAAGAAAAAAGTTTTAGTTTGGATGCAAAAAGAAAATACACACTTGGATGTTACACAAGTAAACATCGAGTATAAAACGGCAGTTCTACCTGCTGCAGGCTGCAGAATCAGCTGCTCCCCGGTTCAGAACATCTGACTTTTGTTGACTGAAGTTGGGAATAGTTTAATGGATGCTCTGTGCTGTAGCTGCTGGGAGTATGTCTAACTCAGGGTAAGCACAAAACAAACTGTTACTAATGTTTTAAAAAAGCTATTTCAGGCTGAGTTGGCTCTTAAAGATGAACTAGTTTATTGTGGAAAACTATTAAAAAATAGTATTTACCGGTAAAGCACTTCTGCACGATTTTATTTATTTATTTATTTTGGACACAAGCTGTCATCAAGTTAAAGGACCTTCTGAGGGTTAATACGTTCATGTTTTTTAACATATTCGTGTTAAATGTGTTGTCAGTTGTATCATAACTGTGTAAGTGTTCTACTTTATTGCTGCCCCTTCTTTCCCACTGCTTTTGTTTCTTTATGTAACAGTTTTAACAGTAACATGAAGAGTTTCTGTCTTCACACTGTCTGCTGTGCTCACACACAGATCGACAGTTCAAAGTTGTTGATTAAAACAACTCTGCTGTAATTCAACACTGTTGGATACACATAAGATTGATTTTTAAAGTGTTGTTGGACTGTGCTCGATAAGTACAGAGGCAGATAAATATGTTGGTGCCCTTACAGGGCACAGCTTACAAGATAAGGGTTTGTGGTAGGTAACCTCCCATGATGTGGATGCAAGAGGAAATGCAACCCCAGGTTGATCAGATATTGCAGATGGTAAAAAGAGAGAGTAGTAAACCATTCAAGATGAACTCCAAAATCAATGTAGCTCACTGTACTATCTGTTGCATGTTAATAATCTAATGATTTGCATGGAAGAAGACCCATGGGGGGTTTAATTACTGACAGAAAAACACAAAAACTCCAGACAGAAATTCACACAATGTTGACGAAAACCAACGTTTCTGAGACTAATGAGACAAAATTAGAGGTTTTTAAACCAGTCAGTTTTGGATTTATTTTGCAAAGGTGCCAACATGTTTGTCTGCATCTGTAAAACTGAATAATGAGTACCAGTATTTATTCTAAAATGTTCTTAATTCAAAACTCTGATGAGGTATCTAAATAATTGTGCCGGTACCATCTACCAGTTTGTGTTGTGAACTAATCCATTTATGCGCACGATTCTTCATCTTCAGGACATCAGCACTCCGTTCTCAACAACAGACAATGTCCAGGAGTTTGGGGACGGAGACAACACTGAGTTTGAGACGGTCTTTGTTCTCACAGACTTCAATTCTCCAGACTACAACTACCTCTACAAACATGATAACCGCATCATTGGGCCTCCTGTTGTGCTGCACTGTGCTGCCAAGGACGAGGTAACTGGGCCTTTACAGTATGTACTCGGCAAAATAAAAAGTAGTGCACTCATAGGCACAATGACACCAAAATGTGTCGACTTTTTGTACACCGATTAATGTTTTTACTTTTGTTATAGCCGCTCCATTTTTCGTGCCGTCCTCTTTACTGCACCGCCATGTTGAACCTGTCACTGTGCTTCACGGGCTTCAGAAACAAGGAGGAAATGGTGAGGTCCATGTGTCCACAGTCTGTGGTAATCATGTACTCCATATGCAGCCAAAACATTCATGGGTTTACACAATCATTGTCTGTAAATTTAAACCATCTTATCTCAATCTTGATGTTGGTTCCTGTAGAAGAAACTGGTAAATTTGGTTCATCACATGGGCGGAATCATCCGGAAAGACTTCAGCACAAAAGTGACTCATCTCATCGCAAACTCCACGCATGGAGAGAAGTACAGGGTTGGTATAAACTTATCTTTTTACTCTCATCTCAAAGGATTTGTATGGTTTGTGACAATTGTAATGTTCTCTACAAGATGTAGTCCATACAGGTTAAGTATACCCCAGTATAATGTAAATTGTATATCCTTAATTTTAATTAAACCCAACAGGATTTTATTTTTGATTTGTGCGGCCAATGATCTAAAAACAAGAATCTGATTTCTATTTTATTTAATTTATTTTTTTGTAGCCTAATATGGCACAATGGAAATGAAAAGCATGGTGGCTCAGTTGGTAGAGCTGTTGCCAGTGGCCTTTCTGGGTGGATTTTGCATGTTCTTGCCGTGTATACATGGGTTTTCTCCGGGTACTCCAGTTTCCTCCCACAGGCCAAAAACATACATGTTTGACTGATTGGTGACTTAAATTGTCTCTAGGTGTGAGTGAGAGAGTGAATGAATGGTTGTTTGTCTTATTTGTCTCTGTGTCCCTGTGATGGACTGGAGACCTGTCCAGGATGTCCCCGCCTATCACACAGTGATGGCTGGACATGGGCACCAGTGACCTCCCCGACCCAAAAAAAGAAGCAGTGGATAAAGATAATGAATGGAAATAGAAAGCTTTTTTTGTAAGCTTTAGCTTATTTAATTTGTCTTCATTATCGGAACACAGCAGCCCTTTGACTGCTGGGATGGAGGGGTACGAAGTGATGGATTTATTCAAACCGTGTCATCTAAAGAACACCTCTTTGACTGATTAAATCTACTTTAAACATGTAAGCTAGAAAAAAAGCTTTTTTTGTTAATGGCATTAACACTGAGGGTTGGATGACTGCTGAAATTTGTAGCTCAAACAAGAACAGAAACTAAAATCAACAAAACAGCAATTAAAAGCTGAAGTTAGCTGAACGGTTACAAAAAGTTTAAATTGGCAAATTTGTGGCTAAGTGCCGAAGGGGGCATAAATATTCAAAAATAGAGCAAGTATTCTGAAGTACCGGTAAAAAAAAACCAAAAAAAACTTATTATTTAAAGAAATGAGATCTCGCTGCATTTCTATAAGAATTATTTGGGTAATAATGTCAAATATAGCCCCATTTGTTCAGTGGATGTACCCTGTTCACACAAGGTAACAAGTCACCTGGTCCCCATAGGTACCTGGCACATATTCAAGTATCTATGGGAATCGGGTTGTATTAAGTAACTTGTTACCCTTCACATGCCAGGTAGCTGTGGCTGTGTAGTGCTCTTCCACATGCTTCTGAGGCCCCATTTGTTAAACGAATTTGTAAATTGTCAATTTGTCTTGTTGAACAAGTACCCTCAATGTTTACAGTACTGCCAGTGCCATGTCACATGGTTTGGTTGTTGAGCAGCAGAGATGGTGTGTTCCTTCAATGAAAAACCTGGTAAATTTTCTGCCAGCACATAATAGCTTATTCCGTTAATGATATAGTTTGAGCTTCTGATACCCCAGGTGCTGGCAGTCAGGTGCCTGGTTACCTGCACCTGTGAGCTTGGACCCTGCCGTAGCAATCAGTTGTTGTCAGCTCCAAACATGCCACAGTTGACTGATCTAGAAATAGCTCGTGCCATCCAGCAAATTCAAACTGGTGTTTCATAAAATCAAGTTGCAGCATTATGTGGAGTGAGCCCTAGTACCACTTCTAAATTGTAGGCCAAGTTATAGTTAGGGATGCACCGATCCACTTTTTCCCCATTTCTGATCCGATACCGATAACTGTTTAAACGTTTCGGACGATACCGATCCGATGCATATCTGATACAGAAAAACAGTGCTGAATTAACAAAAATGGCTAAATCATGTCACCTGGACCCATTTCTGAAACGGGTCCAGATGACATGATTTAGCCATTTTTGTTGTCTATATGGATGTTTGAGCTTACAAACCCAGTGCTGAATTAACTTAAAACATTTGTTTTTTAAAACGCAGACATGAATGTACTGAATTACAAATTTATTGAAAACTCTGCAACATAACAGTACACTTAAACACACCAAGAGCTTCACAAGCTTGGTCAAACTTGTAAAAACAAGACAACTTTAATTTGTTCAGTCAGTATGCTAGCACGTGACGTCACTCAGAGCACAAAGCATAGAATTAGAGTGAATAGATGTGCCCAGTCATGGCTCGGTCACATTGTCACGATACCTGATCCAGAAGGTTTTTCAGATATCTGTACCGATACCGATGTTGGTACTGGATCGGTGCATCTCTAGTTCTAGTATATAAAATGGGTTGTCAGAGACTGGTTGTGAAGTGGGTATCCCATAAGGTGAGATTGTGCGACCAGTGTGGATTGTTTGTTCCACAGTGATCTGAGAGCCACGATAACCACGGTGCCACAACCATAACTAACTAATGTCAAATGCAGGTTGTGAATGACTTGCCATCAGTGTGCGACCAAGCTGATGAGCGACATGAAGTGGAAATGTCAGGTTTTTGTGGCTGTGTATGGTTCTTCCACATGCTCCTGAGGCCCCTGTTTGTTGAATGAATTGCTAAATGTCAAAATGTCTTGTTAAACAAGAGTCATTAGCAGAATAAGCTCTTTGATTCTCCACTTGGCTGCTCAACCCATAAATGTGTTTTTCTTACAAATGTAGCATCATTTAACAGAAAATACACAGGCTTTCCAACGGCGTAGGACTTTTTTTTTTGCCAAGTAGCAAGCTGTTCCATGACTGGTTAAAACAAGTCCAACACCCAGTTGTAGAGGTAAGGGCCACACCCAGATTGGAGATTTGGCTGGTGAATTTGGAAGGTACCGAGGTATCAAAGGCTGAACTGTTGTCAGTGACCAGTAGGTGAGCTAAAGTCTCAGTAATCCATCAAGATCTCAGAAGTGCTGGCAACGAAACACGTGTAGTAGAAATGAAAACAGAATAATATGGGGGGGGGGGGGGGGGGGGGGGAGTAAAGAACTAAAAACTCAGCAGTGATTGGAAACAATCATTTTCTGGAAGGTGAAAAAGCAATCTCAATGATTATTGTTTTTCCTTCTAGTTTTTTAAATTTTGTTTTCTTAAACATCACAAGAAAAAATAATGGACATTTATGCAACGCTGCTTTTAGCCTGGAGACTCGGCTTCTTGGTGTGGTGTTGGGTATTAAATTAATTCTCAGTGGCATCATTTTTATTGACAAGCTCTAAGACTTTAACTTTGTAGCCATCTTACATACACATGAATGAACGAGTGGGAGGATGAATGGATTTAGTATTAAAGCTGTACTCATTTTAACCTTCCTTAGAAATTATTTCTCTTTTTATCTTTTTTTTTAACTCCAGGCTCATTTGAGATATTTTTTGTTTGCATTATAAACTCATTTTCTTTGTGCTACACATGGATGCTGTTTTGAATTTAAAGTGAGACGCTAACATGAAATAAATAAATATATACATGGAAAGTAGTTGTTTCAGCCCTAAATACATGCTTTGGCTTTGCACCTGAAGTAGAAACTATTTGTCTTGTTTTTTCTAAGTGGTACTGTGTTTGAAGCTAATAAACACAGACGATAAAGATTGTTTTAATTTGCTATGTTGACATTTTAGGCTTCTATTTTTATCACCTGCAGCCAAAAGGCAAAGGCGAGCAATAAGGTTTTTATCTACCATCAAAATATCTCATGCAGAACTGGACAACATTTAGTCAGGGTTCACTTTTGGAACTGCCTCAAAAACTGGATATAGCTTAATTTTACAGATGTTGGTCTTCTTTACAGATGTTGGTCTTCAGTTTTGTGTGGTAGTAGCAGAGAGACATTCATAATACAATACTGGTGCTACTTGTTGCATTAAATGTTTGCTTAAAAGTTTTGTAACAACTGTTTTTCTTTTAGCAAGCTATAATTTATTCAGTTTTGCAAATACTGAGCTAAAGGTTGGTATGGTAGTGGATGAGACTAATTTACAGTACACATTCTGAGTGTAACATTGTGCATCACTTTATTCTCAGCTCACAGATTTTCAGTCAAACGTTTACTAAAATGATCTTTTTCTTCTCTCGTGTCTAAGCTGGCGGTATGTATGGGCACTCCCATCCTCAGTCTTTCTTGGATCCAAAAGGCATGGGAGAGAAGACATGATGTGTAAGTTTGAAATATCTGCTCTATTTTTACAATAAAGTTGACTCCAAAGTTCGAAAAATCTTCTATAGTGTTTCAGAACTCTTCCAGTTATTCATACATTTAGAGAAATAAAACGATACATATTCAGTCTGCTTCACTCTGGATGAAATCCGCGCTACAACATAAAAAATAAAATACACCAGCCAGAAATGGACGGTATTTGCAGGACCAGGTCTTCAGGGGTGTTTTAAGAACACAGTGGGCTCCTCGTGCTTGATAGGTGATGGAGAGTTATGAGTGTACACAAAACTTTCATCCGAAGGTCTGTTCTTATAACGGGACTGTCTCAGGGTTCTAGGTAGTTGTGGTTATAGTCTATTCATGATGTGCTTGCGTGGCTTGGTGGTTGAGGACTGAGCATGCTGGTCTCACACTTCGGCTACAAATCCATCACCCCCACATTGTGCTGGCAGAGCTCCAAAGAAGTTTTTAAAGTTCTCTTGCAGTGCTGCTTCTACATGCTTCACATCCTGCCACTTCAACTCCCTCCCCACATGGCTGCAACCTCCAGCCCACGCTCTCCACCTTTAAATGAATACAGCACCATGATCCACTGTCACCTTCTGAAAAAGCCTGTTACCTGCAAGCAAAGTCGTGTTATCAGGATGAGAAATTATTCTTTCTGTGAAGTCTGGGATAGTTTCCCACACAAATCACTTATTTTTGACAAAAATAAGCCTGGTTTCCGAGAACAAAGAGCTCCTGAATACAGAGAATCCTGAACTAATACAGAGATGTAGATTCTGTGACCAGCAGAGCCAAACGCATCGAGAGGTTTTCTGCAGGGTCGGCATGACCCAGTGGTTTGAGCAAAACTTGTTCCTTTGCCAAAATGTTCAGTGTATTTTCAGCCTTGTTCCAGGATAATAATGGTAAGTCAGAGACCACTGGCACACTCTGATACTGTGTATGGTGGGGTTGTTTTTTTTTTCTTGTCGCATCATCTGCACCACAGTCCCGCTCTAATATGGTATAACATGGTGAAAGTTGCCGGAGCACTAAATGCACTTTTCTCTGCCGTCAGACAGTAAAAACTTGGCCAACAAACGGCCTGGCCGGCACCAAACATACCACATGGAGGCTGCAGACACTTTTACATCTGCATGTTCAGAACTAAACAAACACCACTGGTTTATCAGTCAGACCAAATATTAGCAAATAATTCAATCATTCAAAAATATTACTTCACTGTTTTCTTCACCTCCCACTTCTGTCTGACCTTCCGGCTGCACTGTGAGTCATGTGACATGCCGCTGACCTCTGAGACGTGAACACTAAAGGACAAAACACACGGGCGGCATTTGTGCCAAATTCATGCCTCCATCGTTGCAGCTCGTGCCTGTCTCTAGCGATCATTGTTTGAGAGGTGGGGGACACTCTGGACAGCTCTCCAGTCCATCACAGTACCACATGGACAACCATTCACTTCCTGTGGTGCCAGTTTAGGATTGTTAATTTTAACACCATTTGTTATTGGTGTAGCAGAAAACTGAAGTACCTGCTGATAACCCACATGTACACAAGGAGAGCATATAGACATCACACAGGAAGACCCTAAGCAGGAAGCTTGCCTTCTTTATGCTTTAGAGGTATTGGCTGACATGGTTCCCATGATGCACCATGTTGCTTTGTGTGTTTTTTTGCTTGAAGCTTTTGGCTAAACAGTAGCTTTGCTGAAGAGGCAGCTACAACCTAAAATATACAATCGGTACGCCAATGTCCTCTGTTGCTGAGGGATTTTAAAGAGTTAATGTTTGTAGTTTTGGAGAGGAGTGTTTTTATTATTATCCTCAATTATTTGAGGATCCTTTGGGCAATATACAAACTAGAAAGGTGGTTTATTATTTATATGTGTACGTGGTGGTAGCCGTCTTGGCAACCCAATTTTTTAAAGTGACCTTCCTTACACCTAGATGCAGCCGCACACCAACATGGAAGACATCACGTTGCTTATTTTGCAAGTTATCCAGCTCACAACACGCACGGACAGACAGACGGAGGATATTTCCAACAACCCTTCTTTGTTTGCGACAGGGGACAACAAAAGCCAGTGTAGAAAATCTCAGTTCCAGCAGATGCATCATAGAAGTATTTTGGCTGAGACAAGTGTGGACATTTTTCTAAAGATGGTTCACAAGCTGTCGTTACCTGTTAGCTGTGTTGATGCTAACACATCACAGTGAGGTAATACATGTTGGCAGCACCATCATCTGGATTTACCACCTAAAGCCTAATTAAGAATGGTGTTTTTACATGTTCACGAGAAACCTCATGAACGAAGATGATTATTCAGTCTGACTCGAAGTGGACGAGCTACTCCCAACACTCTGGTTACAAGGAAACGTGGAACAAGGTGCAGAATAGTCCCAAGTATTGAAATCAAACTCAGAATCTGTTCATCCTTGTTTTTAAATGACTTTGATCATTATGGAGGACAAACACACTTTTTGATTGGGACATTTTTAGTTTTAAATGGTGGACAGCTTGTGTCAGTTTTTAATAGAAAACGCAGATTTCAGAAGTTTCCTTTGTCCAACTTGTTAAAATCACAAATGTAGACAACTTGAACCAGTTTTAATTTTATAGTAGCATATGTTTTTTCTGAACACCATCCCAGATCTGTGAATAGTGATGTTAGATTTATTATTTTTCTCTCTTTTTCAGGGATTTTCATGCAAACGACGAGGATTTTCGAACAGAGTTCAAAGTTCCTCCGTTCCAGGACTGCATTCTTAGTTTCTTGGGCTTCTCAGAAGAAGAGAAGGCCAACATGGAGGAGAGGACTCAGAAACATGGTTTGTACCTCATGATTGGCTAAGGTTAACAGACTAATATACACGTTGATACTGTTTTATCATATTTATTCATCACATGCAAAAAACAACAACAACAAAAAAAGACTGCAGTTTCTGCAGAGTCATGAAAAGTCCAGAACAAAATGGAATTTGGTTTGAGGTTTTTCTGTCTTTAGAATTTTTTTTTTTTTTTTTTACTGTATTGCATTTTTTAAAGCAAAAACATGAATAAATAATGTTGCTTCATTGCATGCTGCATCCATTTAGCAGAGAAGCATGTGCAAGCTCACAAATTCAAATAAAACAAATATTTAAAAGATGTACAACAACTTGCGAGTCAAATTTTATTTACGAAATACATTTCAAATGCCAAACAACACACTGTTTTACACAAAGACCAAAAACATAAACATTATTTAAAAAAAACATTTCTTAAACATTAAAAGGAATGCAAAAAATAGATTTTTATCTTTCCTGAATGCATTGTAAATCCAATAAATTTGTTAAATTCCCACATCCAGATGGTTTACATGAGCATACAGATAATAAATCAGATAAATTAATTAATTTAAAGACTATTTGTCATCAAAAACGGTTAAAAAGTGAACAGAAAAAAATGTCTGAGCAATTAAGACTAGAAAAGTCTAACATTTTCAAAAATAAAATGTGTAGAAAGTACCTTGAAAGCGAAGACTGTTAAGGAGTTGATTAAACGTGTTTTTTTTTTAAATTTTTTATAAAAATAATGTAATTAATGAACACATGGAGAATTACTGTAGAACTTCCAGTTTTTGTATAGATTTGAGTTCTAGGGTTTTAACAAGATCCTGTGACATTAATATATGAAAGTTCTTCCTAGGCTCTTCAAAACTCATTAAACCTAAACATATTTTAAAAATGTGTATTTGAACATACATCAGCTAAGTAACAGATATGTGGATCAGCAATACATTATCAACCGAAGTGTATTTTTATTGTTTTTACTGAGGCAATTTTATTTATTTACATGTAAAGATGAGATTTGATACAGTACTGCAGCCGGCCAATAGGGGGCACAAATCCATGGTGGCTTCAACTTCCAGCTTCCGTTTTTCCCTCTAGTTTTAATAAATCTCAGTGGTCCAAGTGCACTTGTACATGTTTTCTCTTAGAATGTTTTGCCCCTCTTCGGGAGTTTAATAAAACCTCAGAATAAAATATGTTTAATGTTCTGTTTTCTTTTTTCTGCGTGAAAGGGGGCCAATACCTTGAGGTTGGAGATGAGAGATGTACTCACATGGTGGTAGAAGAAAACTCAGTGAAAGACCTACCACCAGTTTCTACCTCAAAGAAACTCTTTGTGGTCAAACAGGAGGTAAACTTTTCATTTCCTAAGATGTGACACCAACATGGAGCCCAATAAACTGGTAAACTCTGAAAAGAATTCCATTACCGCAAATGGGAAAAGTGAACATGTGACATCACCAAACACTTTTGAGTAGTTTCTAATGATGCAGTAAGGGTTTACTTTATAATGGCTTTGTTTAGGGTTAGTAAAATGATTTGTCTGTCCTGTCACAGTGGTTCTGGGGAAGCATTCAGATGGATGCTCGGGCTGGAGAGTCCATGTACTTTTATGAAAAGGTACGTGCATCATTTACCATTGTTTTTACCATTTTGTCAATCTGCCATGTGTTAATTTTTGCTCTTTTGTACCTCAGAACGACAGCCCAGCCATGAAGAAAGCTGTGTCCCTCCTCTCCCTCACCACCCCCAACAGCAACCGTAAACGCCGGCGTCTGAAGGACACCCTGGCTCAGCTCACCAAAGAGACGGAGATCTCTCCTTTCCCCCCACCTCGTAAAAGGCAGTCGGCAGAAAACTCCCTCTCCATTGGCTCTCTGCTTGACATTTCTAACACCCCTGAAACATGCAAAGCTTTGACAGGTAAGATTAAGAAAATGGCTATAAACAGACACATCTTGTTCCATTCCAAAGACTGCTGCGTTGCGTAGTTTTAGATGTCTTTTTGCAGACAAATGCAATGGTTCATACACCTGTGTTGTTTTGTTGTGGCTGGTTACTTGTTCATCATCAGAGAACCGTACACACCCCTCTTTATTCCAGAGGACAGAGTAGGAGACAGTTCTGTGACCAGGAATAATATGAGAAGAAAGGAACCCAGAGACAGGAGGTCTAGGAAAGACAGGAAAGAGAGGAGGAAAAGATCTCACCCGTGTCCAAATACATGTCAGCGATCCACCGCAGAGTTGCAGCAAGAAGCTTCAGCAGGTTAGGCTTTACTTAAAGGCTTTTCTTCAGGGTTCTACAGCAATAGTTCCCAAAGGTGGGATCTGGACCCCCCTGTGGGTCACGAAACAACAAGTAAGATGTTTTGTGATTTCCAGAATTCCAATATTTGATAATTGATAAACACATTAGTGACAACAGTTATAAACTGTATACTGGTACTGTATATAAAAAGCAGTTATATAAATAAAACAACTTTTATTTGTTTAGGGCAGTGGTTCGTAAGATTGGCATTTTGGTCCTTGATGTCCTTCATGGAACAAAAATTAGGGCTTCTTAGACAATTACCAGCAATTAATTTACATTTATAAAATATTACTGCTAGTATTTCAGCATAATTGGTACAAGGAATTAAAAATGATAGTAATATTTGAATGAAAATGGAGTATGTTGTTTGTTGGGGTTACTGGAGAAGTGTTTATTTGAACCAGCAATAAATGGGGTCACAAGCCTTTCTCAATTCTTTTTTGGGTCAACTGTAGGAATGTGCGATATGGCATAAAATTCATATCACAATATGTTTTGTGAAGGGTGGCGATAACGATATATATCGCGATATGTTTTGGGTATAAAACTTAATAGGAATTTTTCAAAAAGCATAGGGTGTCCTTTTGCTATCATATATTTAGAGTTAAAAAAAAATCCACTACTAGGTCCAGAGAGTTTTTAAATAATAAACAAATCAAGTATTAGGCTTCTTGCTTGTAGTGCAAAACAGTGCAAAAGATATCAAATGTAGTTTTAGCCATATGTTTTAAACAAAAGAATATGTTGTTAACTCTTAACAGTTTTCAGTCACTTGAACACCACTTACACACAGTTTTCAACTAAAAAAAGTAACGATTAAACTGACAACTCTGATTTTACATCAGACACAGCATTACTGTGGTTAGCCGGTAGAAGACAGATCTCTATCGTAGGCTAAATTTATATAGTTTCTACCGTATACATTTCTAGTCGACAGTAAAAAAAAAAAAAAGTTAGGGAACCACTGTTTTAAAGTATATACCGGTAGTTTGGATAAAGATGTGTTTTACTCAGTTTCCCCTACATGGGATTGTAATTATTACTGGATTATAATCTGATCTGTACTGAACATTTGGGAATGATACAGTTTAGTTTCAGCCTGTTGCATGCATTCTGTGTACATGTAGTTGAAGTGTTTTTTTTTTTCATGTAGTAATACATAAGTTCTGATTTCATGGCTTCACAACATTCAACAATACTATCCTATTTAATGGATACGTCATTTGTGCATCATCCGATCAGATGTGATACAGATTTAGGGGTGGGCATTTTAAGCAATAACACTCTTAGAAACTTTGGTAATAATTTTTTTTTTTGTTTGTTTTTTTATTCCAAGCTAATCATCCACACTCCCACATCTCCTGTGACCGTTGTTTGTAGTTTATGATCTTTTCAAAATAAACTAGAATTTGACACTGGGATGCTTTAGGTAACATTTCACACTTAATGGACAAGTTTAATGTACATGCTCTACATCTCGTTTCCTGCTTCTTGTGTGTTTTCTTGGCAGCGTTACAGCACCCCACACAAGCCTGGCTTAGTTGCTACAGCTTTATGGACTATTTGCAATGTTTTAATGTGGTTGAAGACATTTCTTTAAACGGTGCTGTCTTTTTAAGGATACTGTTAGAACAGACAAATAAAAATGGATTGTTTTGGAAAAAAGTGTTTCCCTTTAAACAAGGACTTAGTCTAGGATAAAATCATAAAACTGGAAAAAGCATGTGTGGTGTTTAAAGAAAGGGGGTGGGGGGATAATTGAAAGCATCATTTACCAGATAATGAATATGTCAAAGTTATTTTAATTATATTCAATAAACTGTACACACTAGTTTGCTTGGAACAAGGCACATACTTTTTGGCATTTAAACAATTTAAGTTATTGTGCCTTAATTTGTTACAGTTAAAGTATTTATCAGACCTGGCAGTTTCCCTGTTTTTCAGTATTTTGTTTTAAAAAGTTTTTCTCCACAGAGAGTTTGAGGCCGAACAAAGGTTTGACTCCAGCTCATCCCAAGCAGTCAGCCAGGTGGCAAGTCTCCAAGGAGCTCTACCAGACTGAAAGCAACTACGTAGGCATTTTGGACACCGTTCTACAGGTAGGTGTGCGTCTCTGTGCACATCTCAACACTTCATCACAGGCTCGCCAACATGTTGTCCCTGATAACTGTTTCTGGTTTGGCAACGCCAAATGTGTGTGGTTTTGGTGGGCGAGGCACTTGGTTCTGTTGACAGGGCGTGACACGCTCCTTGAATAATGTTGCAAACATACATCAGTGTACTTTGCTTACCTCCCACCTCCCTTCACAGCCGACCCCAAATTTATGAGTTAATTTACTGGAGTACGTACATGTGAAATAAAGTCAGTTTTTACACTTGTTTTTTATTATCAGTGTGGTTTGTTCTGGATGTTTGGGAGAGTAACCTTGGATGTTTTATGCTAGAGATCTTCCATGCAGGTGTCAAAATTAGACCTGTCGCAATAAATCAATTAATCGCATGATAAATTAAAATTATCAACCTCGTTTTCATGTATTGGCTTTGTTTCTTCGTCTCTCTCTTTCTACTGAAGACACTGGATGACAAAAGTCTCAACTCCGGTGCTCTTCACTGACCCCTCCCTTTCTCTTTTCTCTTTAAAATCCATTTCAACCCTGCAAAATTGCGTTTTTGAATCGTTCAATGCAGCTAACCTGAGAAGCTAAGCTACGAACTAAGCTAACAGGCAGATCTCGGGGAAAAAACTTCCGTCTTGTTGAAGCTCCAAAATTCGTGGTTGAAACCCGTACGCACCTTCATCTAAAAAGTTTTTTCTCTGCAAAAAGAAGCTGAGAACTTGTTTACTGATTTTTTTAAATTTATTTATTAAAAGCTTTATGTGAAAAATGCTATGCTAGAGAGCTCAACTGACACCGAGCATCCACCATTTTGAGAACCAAAAAACAGGAACGAGAGACAGTCCATGGCATGTCAAGGGGCCTCCCTCCCATTTTCTTAGAGACGCTACTCGCTCCCTCACTATCCATCCTTCAGTTCAAACAGTCTTATACTGCCATCCAGTGGTCAAAAAAGGTACTACACACAAAAATTAACCAATATTTTTTCTTAAATTTGACATGACTAATTATTGTCAAATTTCAAACAATATTATCGTTTATCGCAATAATTTCTGAGACAATCGCCCAGCAAAATTTGTTATTGTGACAGGCCTAGTCAAAATACAGTTCTAGTGTTATTGAAATGTGCTGGAGATGTCCATAACTACTGGGAGAGAAATTGTTGCACAAATTCTTTGAACGTTCAAAATTCAAGGAACAAGACTTTGAGCCTTGGCATGAAGAAAATTAAGAAAGGTTTTTGTACCTTTTAGAGACTCATTTGCAAATATTGTTTCCCAACTTTTCCCCAGCAGTTGCAGCCCACCCAGATAAAAATTTTAGTATTCAGTATCACCCCAATACTTTCTGCATGACCTACACCTATTGGGAAGTATCTGGATTGTGGAAAAATTTCTTTCAGTGTAAAAACAGTCATAAGGCTGTTACTCAGTACTTACCAAGTGGGTTTGTTCTGCATCGCCAAGATGTTCCCCTGTTTCTTCCACACTTCAAGTCCGTCTTGACTTGAGGACTCTTATGTGGAGGCAACTTCCGTTAGCACATCTGTGCTAGGTTGCTACCATGACTTTGTCACTATCATGGTCATACACTAGGCATGTTGTTAGTGTGGTCATTTCTGAATAAGTCTTGATCACCAAGCCTCATGGATCTTTTTTCACCATGCCCCACCCAGCACCCTAAAACCCTGCCACTAAAAGAAGAACTCACTATGACCTCACTTTGAAAGTTTTGTGTTTGCTGAAAACCATTGTGGATCAATCAGAAATAAGTTCACCGAGTTCCTCATAGTTACTCAAAGACTTTGTATTTTTGTATCAGTGTTGCATAGATACATTTCATGTTTTCTGTGTGGATGAAAACATTTATAGAAACTTGTGTATTTACAGAAATATTTTTTTTTAGAAATGCACACAATAAAACTATTAGTTTCGGAAATGAGGAGAATTAATCTAACAATGGAATAGAAATGAACAAAGGTAATGACAAAATGAAATGTCTCTGCTTTTCTTCTCTCTGAATTGAATTAAGTCAAAACAATTTTCTTATGAGTTTAGTTATTATTTGTTGTTACTTGTTTTAGATTATTCATCCCTGGTACTGTTTTCCAGCCATTGCCTCATTTTAAATGTGATTTCCAGCTTTTCAAGCATCCACTGGAAAAAGAGGGTCAGGTTGGAGGACCCATCTTGGCCCAAGAAGAAATTAAGACGATTTTTGGTAGCATTCCAGACATCTACGAGGTTCACACCAAGATAAAGGTAGGGTGTACCAAGTACAACAGAGTTGTGATTTTTGAAGCGCTGTTGTTGACGTGTTTGTTTGTTTTTACCAGAACGACCTTGAAGAGCTCCTCACAGATTGGTCAGAGAACCAGAGCGTTGGAAACATTTTCCTCAAATATGTGAGTGTGAAGTGCTTAAATGAGAGTAAGCTGTTGATCCATGAGACATTGGTAGGAGTCGTTGACGTTCACAGGTGTTCTTTGATAAAGATGTTAATGAGACAAATCAAATAACTTATTAACCTGGAATCCAGGAAGGTATTAAATAACTACCTCTGGAAAAACTTTCTCTGCTGTAAGTCTAGCTGTGAGTTTTTTTCTAATCTCTATCCTCTCTTCCTCCTCAGTCTAAGGAGTTGGTGAAGGCCTACCCACCTTTTGTCAACTTCTTTGAAATGAGCAAGGAGACGATTGTTCGATGTGAGAAACAAAAGCCACGCTTCCACGCCTTCCTGAAGGTGCGGTTGTCTCCTGTGAACGATAGTTTGTTGGTTTGACTCGTTCTGTTAAAATTGAGCTTTTTATTTTAAAATTTAAAAAGCATCAGAGTTTAGTGGACATTGATGTAATTTATTATCTAAATGTTTCTTAATATTTTCCCTTATGGTGACAGCTGGTTTTCAGACTTCAATTAGCCTTTGTTGCTACAGGTTCTGAAAATCTTTCGGTACCTCATGATTCGGTTTGGTCAGGATTACAGTTCGGGCCTCTGTGGTGCGATTACAAAATGATTTGCGATTATCTTGAAACCTAAGCAACCATGATTAGTTTACAGAAAAGAACAGATTTATCTGGTTTCCAAAGGGTTTCCACAGTGCATTAAAAAACATTAAAAGTAATTAAATGGATTTGGTTAAATTAGAGGCCTTCACAGGCTTTAATTTTGTTTCTCAGTGTCGTTAAATATTTTTATTTGTTTTCAATAGAATTAAGATGAGCGATTTTTGAAAAGCTCTCATCTGGTCTTGCTTATAGTGTTGTATTAAAATAACACGTGGGAACTTTATTAATTGTTTTTGGTCGGTTGGTGCTCAACTGTACGAGGGGAAATGGGCAAACTTCAGTAGCTGAAACAAACTGGATAAATGGAAACTCCAGCTAAAGTGGCTGGAAAACAAGGAATTCAGATTACAGCTGCAGCTGTGCAGCGGTCAGGATGGTGAAGAGCATTGCAATGCTTGTTTAAAACAAACAAACATCTAAACAGTTTTTTAAAGAGTGCACAATGTGTCAAAGGACACGTAGAAATGTTACATGGTTAGATTTTTGAGGGAATACAGCTGAAATGTACCTTCTTACTTCACTGCTCTGTCCAGAGCGACTGTCCCAACACCCGAGCGAGGAGTGATGATCACTCTTCAACCCTCCTGTTGTGTTCATACTTCAGGAACACCAAGGATGTTCCTGGGTCAGTTTGACCCTGTGGCCATATTTAATTATCCAAAAATGTCAAAACCCCAAAAAGTACATTCTGTTTCATTATATCTCATAATTAACTCCATTTATAATAATTTTAATGAATATTTAGGACAGTGGTGTTCGTCTCACAGATCATGATTCAATGGGAATAATTCATTCGATTTTCATTAAAAATGCATTTTAAAACTTTTTATGTACTTTGGACTGACCTACATATAAAATACAATTAAAAAGTTTTACATAACATATTTTTAACATAGGTTTCATTTTACATTTAGAATTTTTTTCAGTGATGTTGATAAATTAACACGAGGTTTTGCTGTTTCATGGTCAAATTTGTGCACCTCACCCAAACATGCATGGAAATCTATTTTATTAAAGTCCTTCAACTTCTCCCCCAAACCACTCCTTCTTGTAATGAACATACCCTCCTCCTTCTACTTATTCTAGGAATTGTTGTTAATAATGAACAAAGTCCATGCTCAATAATCCAGGTATACGATCCAACAATTTTCAATCAGTTCATCTGGACAGTTTCTTTTTTTTTTTTTGTGCTGAAACGTTTCACCTTCCATCCAGAAGGCTTCATCAGTCAAGGAAACACACAACACAAAACTGATTCTTCCCCCACAGCTTACTCCAAAGTGGAACAAACCAGTTTTGTTGGTGCTAAGATGGTCTCTTTGGCACGCCCCCTCCTCCGGTGCTGGCCCTGGGCATGTTGTGTGTTTCCTTGACTGATGAAGCCTTCTGGATGGAAGGTGAAACGTTTCAGCAAAAAAAGAAACTGCCCAGATGACCTGACCGAAAATTGTTGGATTTTAAAAATGATCAGCTCAAGCTTGATGTCTGTCACGAGTCACTGCCGCCCTACAGAGTTTCTGTGGAGCATTTAAAAACCTTATGTAGATTTTGCACAATTCAAGGCCTTGAATGGCATTAAAAACATTATATTGGAATGTCATTATCATTAAATATTTTTCATGAAAAATAAGAAGAATGACTTCAGAAACAACTCCTCCATACTTGCTCACCATGCAGAACCATTTTGGAAATTCTTCCTGGAGGTTGGGGCACGATTGTCAGAAGATCATGCCTTGGAGAGGAAACAGGAAAACCACAGGAGCAGAGACAAAATGAGTAAACGCAAACTCCAGCTAAAGCGGCTGATAGAAGAGACATAACTGCAGCCTGTTGATGGTTAAGATAATGAAGGATTTTCCCGCGTTTGTAGAACTTAAATAAAAAAAATGGCTTAAGCTTGGGCTGATTAGACCAAGGCGTTGGGTATGGTTGAAGCCAACCCACACCTGATGTACCTTTTTTCTGCAAAGCTAGGTAGTAACAGAGCTGAAATGGTCATCATATGAAAAGTTAAGCCGGTTTCAGCGGCTCATTGTGATTAAGTGAAGACATCTGGGTCATGTGACCACTCAGGATTAAACAACAACAAACAGATTTATCATGGAGAGAAAAGTCCCACAAGTCCCCAAAGGGAAATGATCCACAACAGCTTTGAATTCAGATTTTTTTTAATCGGTTACCAATAAGAGAACAAAATTCATCATGTTTTGAAAATGGTACGAGAGACGTCTGTCACACAGTTGGTGTTGAAGCTCCGAGTCAATCCAGCTGAATTCTGCTCCACACCTATTCGGGTTCTGCGCCACCCTCCTGTGTAAATTAGAATTAAAAGGAAAAGCTCTGCTTACTAAAACACGACAATCTTCTTTCTGTAAAACAAAACCACAAATACATAGTATTTAACAATCAGTGCAGTGGCATTAAAATGTCATTTAACAACAACTTATTTATGCATTCACTGTCTCTGGCATTCAAATGTTAGAAAATAGCACAATTAGCATTTAAAAGCAATTAGTTTAATAGTTTAATCTAATAATCTCTGTAGAATCTCTGTCTTTATTCTTTTTCTCTGCAGACAGTTGCTGTATTCTTTAGGGATGAAGACTGTTGTGTTTGGCTGTTTTGTGTTGCCTGGAGACATTTTAAAAGCAGTTTTTTACAGATTAAACTCAGAATGATCAGATTATTTTGTCAAGTTAAAAGGGGTTAGATTGACTTGAATCAGAACAGCAGGGTTGAGCTGGTATCTCACTTGGCTGTAACTGCTGTTGACCAGCTGATGAACGGAGCTTGCAAGAGAATCTCCAAAAAGTCTCAAAATAGTTTCCAATTCCCCTGCATGATTCAGAGGCTCACAGTTCTGTAACTTAAAAAAGAGTTCTCAAAATTAGTTTGACTGAATTTCTGCATGACTCTCCGGTCACAGTCACAAGCAGGTAGGATCCTGTGAGATGGCATCAAAAAAATGTCCTATTTTTTCACAAGTTTTAGCTTGAATGTCTCCCCCCCCCCCCCCCCCCCCCATCATTCATGCGTAAGATACTGACGGTACTTTTAATAGATGTTACCTGCACTGAACTTTTTATTTTTTATTTATTAAATTAAATCGGAGTCTGACCGCTTCATTGTTCAAAAAAACCCACGTCAAGCTTTGTGTTTTCTAATCTGGTTTCAAAAAGTCACTTCTATATGTCATGCATTTTGGCTGCACAATATTTTAAACATTTCTTAGTTATCGCAATATTAGTGAGAACAATATTAATATCACAAAGACCAGTAAATCCCAGGTTATTCCATTGTAATAAACATTTGTGTTCTCCCCACTGGTCTTGATGCACACACCTGGTTTAGATGATTGTGAAAATGGGCTTTTGTTAACATTGCAATATAAAACAATAATGATAATAATACTTCCTATTGGTGATATTATTAGCAGAGAAGTCCGTTTTCAGATTGACCGTTCAGTTTAGGTTAACACAACCACACCGTCACAAAACCTCCCTGACTCCACAGATCAACCAGGCCAAACCGGAGTGTGGCAGGCAGACGCTGGTGGAGCTGCTCATCAGACCCGTGCAGAGGCTGCCGAGTGTGGCCCTCCTCCTTAACGGTAACACGCACACACACACCGCTGCTACAACAAGAGTTTCATATTTCTCCACATTATTTTCATCTAACCTGCCAGCTGCCTCCATCTCCCGTTGATGCGTACCTGCCTGTAATCTCTCGTCATTTCCCTTCTTTTGTACACTCTTTAGTCTTTTTGTGGATTTCATCTCCCGCCGCCTACTTCCTACCAAACTTTCCCTTCTTATCTCGGTTCCAGATATAAAGAAACACACGTCAGATGACAACCCAGACAAGATAACGCTGGAGAAAGCGATAGAGTCTTTGAAAGAAGTGATGACGTGAGTTGACAACTTTTTCCCCTTATTTATAGAGTTTCATCATTTATGGGAGGTTTGAACCTAAACGTAACTGATACCTCTTAAATCCAAGTCTTGGACCCTTTTTTTTTTCTCTAAATAAAACTAACTAAAGGTTGGCTGAACAGAAAAAGATGGTGGCGCCGGTGTATGTGGCTGCTCGTCTGTCTCTCTCGCGTTTGCTGTTGTTTGTGTTGTTTCTGACCTGGGTTGTCTGCGGAGCTGGGTGTCTGCTGGTGTACGATCGCAATACATTACTAGACCTCCGGCCACTGGTCCAGGATATGGAATTATTGGATGTTGCTGGCCAACAATCCTTGCCCCCGCTTCTGTCGGAGATTCCAAGCTACCTGTTCCGGGTTCCTGCGCTGCTTACACGGCGGAGACGTCATCGTCGTCGCGGTAGACGAAGCGGCTGGCTGGTGAAGCTGAAGTTTTATATGACGCACTGTTCTGCTTTTAACCGTTCATCACATGGATCGTTTCTGGGCTCTCGGGTGCCTCGGCGTTTCTTGGATCCCGCTCATGTCTGCTTGGTGCCAGTGGTCGGCTTTCAAGCTCCTCTGCATCGCCATCCCCGCCCTTCTTGGATCAACATGCGCCGACGGTGTCTCCAAAACCTGAGACCGCTGTGCCGGGTTTCCCGACCTGTCGACGCCCAGGATCCAGTTCCTGTCAGGATTGGCCTGATAAACGCCAGGTCGCTTGGGAATAAAACTTTTATTCTTCGGGACTTTTTTAGCTGCCAAAACCTGGATTTTTTGTTTGTGACTGAGACGTGGCTGAGTGTTGGTGAGTACAGCGCTCTATCTGAGCTCTTACCAGCAAATTGTGCTTATTTTAATTCACCACGGGCCTCGGGGAGAGGGGGAGGCACAGCAACTGTTTACAAACAGGACTACAAATGTAAGCAGTGTTTTCTACAGACGTCTTTTCCCAGCTTTGAGTTTACATCTTTTGAGATGAGACACGTAAACCCAGTTTTCTGTGCTGTCGTCTACCGGCCCCCCAAATATAATAAGGATTTTTTAAGTGACTTTTCTGACTTTTTATCTGGGATTTTAACTAATTATGACAAAGTTCTTTTTGTTGGAGACTTCAATTTGCACGTGTGCTGTCCTGATAAGCCTCTGGTAAAGGACTTTTTAAGCCTTCTGGACTCTTTTAATCTGGTACAGGCCGTATCCGGCCCTACACATGAACATGGACACACATTGGACCTGGTTATTTCCTGTGGTCTGCCAGTGACTAATCTGGAAATCTGTGACGCTGTGTTCTCGGATCACCTGCCTGTTTTATTCAGTGTCACTTTGACACCTACTACAGTTAAAACTCGCGCTGCTGTTCGGCGCTGTCGGATTATTAACCCTTCCACTGCCACTCAGTTCTCTGCTGCTTTTCTTCAGCTCTGTGGATCATCTGACTTCCTCCACTCCAATACAGAAGAGCTCTGGTCATGGTTCTGTTCTTCCTGTCAGACCATCCTGGACTCGGTTGCTCCGTTAAAAACTAGGCAGCCAAGGATTAAACCTGAGCCTTGGTTTAATGACAGAACTCGTGCTGTAAGGAAGGAATGTCGTCGTATTGAACGCAGATGGAAAAAGGACAAACTGCAGGTTACTTTTCAGATTTTAAAAGACTGTTGGCGTCTCTACCAGAGCACGGTTAAAGAAGCAAAAAGGGAATATTTGGCTAGTGTTATTTCTTCAAACAGCCATAACCCACGTGTTTTATTTGACACCATTGACTCTGTACTTAATATTCCACAAAATGCCTGTTTGGAAGCTTCTCCTGGCATGTGTGAAAATTTTCTGCGTTTTTTTATTGAAAAGGTTGGTAGTACCAGGGCTCTTATTACAGCTCCTGACTCTGACCCCTCAGTTTCAGTCCCTTGCTCTGCTGTTTTTAATCAGTTTGAGCTTGTGACTGTTTCACTTTTAGAGGACGTAGTTGGCCGCATTAAGCCATCAGGTTCCCCACGTGATCCTGTCCCTCCACGACTTTTTAAAGATATTTTATCTAGCATAGGGCTGCCTGTTCTTGCAATTTTAAATGGCAGTCTGTCCTCAGGTGTGGTCCCTGCTAGTTTTAAACATGCAGTGGTGCAGCCCCTGCTTAAAAAACCTGGCCTTGATCCAACTGTTCTGGCTAATTATCGGCCTATTTCAAAGCTGCCTTTTCTTTCTAAGGTTTTAGAGAAACTTGTATACTGTCAGCTGACAGTTTTTAAATGACAATGGCATTCTGGAGGTTTTCCAGTCAGGTTTTAAAACTCTCCACAGTACAGAATCTGCTTTAATTAGAGTTTTTAACGACATCCTTCTTGATTGTGATTCTGGTAATCATGTTGTTCTGATTTTACTTGACCTAACTGCTGCTTTTGATACAGTGGACCACAACATTTTAATATCGCGATTACGACATATTGTTGGTATTGATGGCTCTGTTCTTAAATGGTTTAAGTCTTACTTGGAGGAGAGAACATTTTCAGTGAAAATTAATGACTCTGAATCATCTTCAGTTCCAATGCAATATGGTTTCCCGCAGGGCTCAATTCTGGGCCCTATGCTCTTCTCGTTGTACTTACTGCCTCTGGGTTCTATCCTTAGGAAACATGGGATTTCATTCCATTGTTACGCTGATGATTGTCAGATTTATTTACCCCTAAAGCAGAAGGATGGACATACGTTCACACATCTCCTGGAATGTCTAGGAGATATTAAAGCTTGGTTGGCCTTGAACTTTTTAAATTTTAATGAAAACAAAACCGAGGTGATGGTGTTTGGACCCAGTGGCTCCTGTGAGTCCTCCTCTATTAACCTGGGACCCTTGGAGAAATATTTTAAACCTGTTATTACAGATCTTGGTTTTAAGGTGGACAGTGATTTTAAATTGGACAGCCAAATCAAAGCCGTGGTTAAGTCCAGCTTTTATCATTTAAGGCGATTGGCGTCAGTGAAGTCTTTTCTTTCCAGACAGCATTTTGAAATGGTGATCCACGCCTTTATTTCGACTCGATTGGATTACTGTAATGCACTTTATCTGGGAGTCAGTCAGTTGCTGCTCTCACGTCTGCAGCTGGTTCAGAATGCTGCTGCACGACTTTTAACAGGAACTCGAAAGAGGGAACATGTGACCCCTGTCCTGGCTTCACTTCACTGGCTGCCTGTATATTTTAGGATTCATTTTAAAATTCTTATGTTTGTTTTTAAATCACTGCATAATCTTGCCCCGGCTTACC